GGTCATTTTTAACGTGGGATTATAATCGACTAATCAAAACATTGCCCGGTCACTGCGACCACTATCACGCTGGGATTGATATTCACCTAAATCTACCCTCTTTTAGTGTTAGAAAGGTGTTTTTACCATTGGGTTAGAATCACCGTGATCAGACATACCTCAAAGGTTTTCAATGAACTGTCCGAAGACAGAAACACGACAGTGAAGTGAAGAACAAATCCTGATGCCAGTCTGATGACCAAGAAGCGTGGTAATTTGCTCTCATCCCCACAAGCTCTTTACTCATGGCTCCATGGGGGCAAGGAGTGCCGAGAAGCAATAATTTAATTCTAGACAAAGCGCCCATACACTATGATCCAAGAAAGAAATGCTGATCCATATGTAAATAAACTACTTTTTACGAATGCTCTGCTAGTTTATAAATAATACCTAGATCTTTTCCTTCTTATCTCATATTTACAAACACAAGCGTATTCACAAGCATTCACACGTATACATCGTTGAAGGAAAGTGTAGATGTATATATGTTAGTTCTTACGCCCATTATTCTTTTGATCGTTTCGCGCGCATGTGTGTGGGTGTGTGGGGGGTGCGCGCGCGTGTGTGTATGTGTATCTGTGCAAGAAATACGGGCTTACACAAAGATGAAGAACTCAATTCCATTTTAATGGTGTGTGAGACTAATGATTTCTAATTCTCATTGTATAGCGAACGTTTGTCTTACATCTCTGCGTATGTCCATATCAATAAAATTACACCACCACACACATACACATACACAGACAAATGTATATGTGCATTGCGTGTGTGTGCAAATATGCGTGTTTGTGTAAGTATGTGAGTGTGGATATGAGAGTTTCTGTTGGCTAATAAGAGAGTAAAATCTATACCTATATATAAATGTGTGCGCGCGCGTGTGTAGGTGTGGCACATACGACTGCGCCAATGAGGTATAAACTGTCAGTTTCAAAAAAGCAAAAGATGAATAACCAAATTTGGGAAAAATAAGAAAAATTAAATAAATGACAAATATTTGATATTATCAAAAATTACTACAATGACTACCCACCACCGATACTACAAATGCTACTGCTACTAAAACTAATTAAACGAATCTTAAATAAGATGATAATGACTATTAATGATTTTTGCTTTAGAGATGATACTGATAAATAATGACATTATCGACAATGTTCATATGAAAGATATTAGTGCAAACTGATATATATATATATATATATATATATATATATATATATATTAGTTTAATATGGCAAAAGGCCAAAAGAGGAAACGAGAACATAAATTCTGTATTGGGCTAGTTTAATTGCGTTGACAAGATAGCTTAGTTTGTTGCATAGGATCAAACACCGTCCGATAGAGCTGGTAGAATAATTTCAGTTTATATGTTGCCATAGTTTTACAAGACTATAACCATTATATCTATCTATCTATCTATCTATCTATCTATCTATCTATCTATCTATCTATCTATCTATCTATCTATCTATCTATCTATCTAAACCTACGTTGTTTCTCTTTCTCATAAATGGCCTTCCTGATGCCGTCAACTCTAAACTTGGTATCTATGCTGATGACACAGCTCTTAATAGTAAGTCTGATCGGTTCGATAAGGAAAAATTAGCAGATGCTCTAAAAAATAACTACAATTTGTTGTTAAGTGGGGCAAGGGTCGCTTGTTACTATTAACGCATCAAAAACGAAACTGCTCTCTTTTAATTTTAGAGAAACCTGAAAGAGTATGTTAAATTAATTGCTAAGTTTGCAGCTAAAAAATCTTGGTAAACTATGTCATGCTAGAGCATTTTTCTCGACAGGATCTAACTTGCATATTTATAACTCTCCCATACTACTTGCTTTCAATATTTCTGCTACATATAGTTTGGTGCTTCTGCTTTATATTTAGAGATTCTTGATAAAATCCAAAGAATTTGCCATGTTACTGGTTATGACCTGGCATCACGGCTTCAGTCCTGTTCTCATCGCCATAACGTAGCTTCCTAGTGCCTTATTCTATAAATACTTTCGTGGTACTAGATTGGCGGCAAGGTTTCATCATTTTACAGGTTAGATGTAACTGTAAGTTCTATGATAACAGTTTATTCTATCGAATTTCTCGCATGTAAATTTCTCTTCCGGCTTCTTGCTTCCCAGTTAACTTTGATTTTCAAAAATTGATATACAATGTCAGTCGTTATCTTCCGTCTTCTTAATTCTTGTTTTTTTTTTATTTCCCTCTCTCCCTAATAGTAGTTTTTTTATATTATCTAAAACTCAGTAACCCCATTACATCTTAGTGGTTTTATTGCGTTGCTTGGAGTAAAATGATTTTTAAAAATCTTCTAGTTTTATAATAAAATCTCACAACACGAAATAATTTTTTGCAAATATATCTAATAAAGACATATATGGATATTATCAAACCAAACTTTGTAAAATTTTCAGTGTATAATATATTTACATGATAAATATAGCCTACAGATATTAATTATAATATCTTTTTTAAATTAGATATATTTTCAAAAATATATTTGGTACTGTAAACATATAAATCAGACGAATAAATTCATAAAAACTGATTGCTCAGCATTAATATTTTATGATTACATTGGATGAATCTGAAGTCTGGGCTAGAAACTGACGCCTCCATGGAAATAGTCAGACAGAAAACCAAAGTGAAGTGGTGGAGTAATGTACTCAACTAGTATTGACACAACAAAAATAGAAATCTCTCCCAAATCGAGGAGGCTTTCAAAATAAACGCTGATAATTATTATCAATAGTTGGACAAGTTTTCTAAATGGCAAGGATCAAGTTAAGCAAAATTGCATATTCATCTAAGACTATGATCCTTTACATTCTGTAAAGTTGTCTGTTGCCCACATTGCATAAAATGTTTTAAAGATATCAATAGAATGTCTCCAATTTCTCCAGATATAATCCATTAACAATAAAATACGTTGTCTATCATTAAATAAATGTATATCAGAATTGAAAATAATATTCAAGCAATGGAGATCGCTAGGAAGCAATCAAACCTACTGCAAATAATGTTAAAATTAAAAAATAAAATAAAATGAATCGATAAAAGATTATAGAATTTCAAGTAACCTATATTACAAGTAAAATAAAAAAAAATAATAATTTATGGGATATTGTATTAATCTACTCTTTTGTGGTCTATATTTATAGAGTTTATTTATTTGGAAAAGACATTATATTGCATTTTGTTTGTTTGTTTGTTTGTTTGTATAATAAAACCTGATACAATCAAAACAATTTATTAGTAATATATTTACGGATATATATAATAAGCTGAAGCTTACACGATATATTACTTGCAGAAATGTGGCCTGAAAGTTTTATCAGACATCAAGTTGTTTCATACCAATTTTAAACATGAAAACATTGACTTGTATTTTTAAAAATCTAGCATAATCTAGATAAATAAATAGAGAGATAGATGCTAATTATCAATTATCAATGTGTCTTGCCGTCTTCCTATTATTACTCGAAGTTTGAAATTTAATTATTTTCTTTATTCCATTTATAATTGGAAATAATAATCATCCTTGTCGCTCTGAACTTTACTTTTTCTGTTCTTATATGAGCTATTGACAATATTTTATTCTCCTTGCAATTTGGATTATCACAACGAAATTCGAAGCTCCATATTGCAGCAATCAACGTCTATATCACATGTAAGCCTTCATAAGCAAAGAGACCAATTTATTTTTTATAAATTTCTCACCACTACCTTTCCACATAACCCACGTGAATTTGTTGATAACTACTTGTATCAGTAACATAAACAATGTGTATGTGTTTTACTTCTTTTATATTTTCAAGTGTTCTCAATATTAACTATTTATGAAGTTGTATGATACAATATCACGCTGTCCACGAGGTATCTTTAATATTTTTTTAATTTTCTAGGAGATACCGTCTTCATGATAATATTGGGTACTAATGTATTTACTGTTATAGATAATAAGACAACTATAACTATGATGATGTCCACGGTGACATGAAAAATGATTAAGATGCTAATGGGGCAGATGACTATTCCGTGATGTTATGATGGTTCTAAAGATGATGGTAATACGCATGACACAGGCGCTGATGACGATGTATAAGAATATAGAAACGGCGACAATGGTGATGACGATGACTATGGATCTGTCTATTCCAGATGGCGACACTTGCACAGCATAACAAGAACGGCATCTGAGACATTATGAAAACTAGTGGGGAGGCGAGACGTGCATGGCGTGTCGTTGCGAGGGGAGGTAAGGCGAAACTCGGGGTGGATTCTGGCTGTCTTTTCCCACCGTGACTACGATAATACTGCTGCCGACTGCCACCATCGTGCCATCTGTATCCCAACCCCTTAACTACCGCTTCATTACAACGAAGGATCCTGAAGGAAGTCTGCCGCCGAACCCGGCCCATCTTTTGCACTGTGTGCTGTTGTGGAAAGAGGGTGGGGTTTCTCCATCCTGCACAAAAAATAAAAATAAGAATGAAAAAAACAATTAAAAAAACTCCGGTACAGGCGGGGCGAAAGCGGACGGCAACAGTGGAACATTATCAGCATTTGCTATCTCATCAAATCAAGAAAATGTTTGACGGTAAAGTATTAAAAAAAAATGAGAGAGAGGGCTATAAAGATAGAAGAGAAATAGTTGGTTTCGGGTCTTCGATTATAGATAGACTAGAAAAATGTAGCATTAAACACAAAAGGGTGTTGTAATGCTTGTATTAAAAAAAGTATAAAATAAGGAGTATGCCTGAGAAATTAGTCGGGTGGGAACCACCGAAAGAGAAACAAAAGAAAACGGGTATGTGAGGAGCTAAACAGAATTGATGATGTTGGCTGTAGTGGTTATTGGAAATAAAAAGATTTAAGGGTAGTGGATGGAAGAGGAAATAGAAGATTTTGTGTTGAGACGAAAGGGAGGAGGCAAAGGCGTGGTAGG